CAGACCTCCACCCTCAGCCACTGGTTTTTCTCACAGGTAAAACGGGGCTCTTACAGGGTCTCGTCCAGGGGATAACAAGGCCCTGAGCCTCGTAAGTCATCATGGGTCTCGTGCCTTGAAGGACATCTATATTTGAGGGTCCTGTTCCGGGGACAGGTTGTGAGGAATCCGTTTGAATCTTGATGGCACATGCAGTATGGATTCCGCCGATGTCGTTTGAGGATTTTGCTTATAAAGGGGATAGTAGCTCCTCCAATAGGGACAAGTAACCAGTGTCCCCAGACCCGGCCCCGGTGCCATCAGAGAAGGAGCTAATAAAAGACGCCAAAGGGTCTTTTACTTTGAGTACTGCTGTCAAATTGAGAGTTAATTCCCCCTTTTGGGAGAAAAAAAAAATTCTAGCCTGATACTTTCCTGAGAAAGCTTGACCTAACAGATGACTAGTCAGAGGAAGTAAGGAGAAAGGGTGTGTGTCTCTCACAGGACCTAGACAAAAGGAAAGGGGCTCAGGGACAGGAAACTGTTGGGCTCTATTGGGGCCACCCACTATTTGAACTGTTTTGGTATTCCAGTATTCTAAGGCCGGGGCAGCTTCACAGCAGTGAGGTTGAACGGGAGTGTGGCCCCGGTGTCAGTAAGGACAGAGGGTCGTTCCCAATTTGGAGAGTAGTTTGAGCCAGTTAAGAGGGAACATTGGGAAGAGCCCCTGTGCCTCTTTGGAGCCCCATTACTGGCAATTAGGAGGGCCTGGAAAGGCTGGCTGGAAGGCTGAAGGTGCCTGGTGTGCTTCAGCCCGTAAGTAGTAACAGTCTTTTCCAGTGTCCCGGCCGTTGGCAGCAATACCAGAAAACAGGCATATTTGGTTCTGTCTAGAGGCCTTCATTTGCCACAGTTGAAAATTAAGAATTTTAGCAGTTTTTCTTTTAGGCGATTCATCCAGGATGCACCCTGGCTGGTTTGCCAGATAACTCCATGTGGAGTGGATGTCATTTCCCGTTCCATCCTGGTTTTTTTTTTTTTCTTCAACGTTTATTTATTTTTGGGACAGAGAGAGACAGAGCATGAAGCGGGGGGGAGGGGCAGAGAGAGGAGAACCGGGATGGAAACAGGCTCCAGGCTCTAGCCGTCACAGCCCAGAGACCCAGCGGGTGCCAATTCGACGGACCTGGTAATGGTGACCTGGCTGAAGTCGGACGCTTAACCTACTGCGCCACCCAGGCGCCCCTATCCTGGTTTTAACTAAGACCCGGGTTCAGTCTGTGAAATAAACAGAGTTAAATGCGACCCAGGTGGGCTCGACATCTAAAGACCAGAGGGGCACCTGCGTGGTGGCTCAGTAGGTTAAGCGTCCGACTCTTGATCTCGGCTCTGGCCATGATCTCATGGCTTCGTGAGTTCAAGCCCCGCATCGGGCTCTGTGCTGACAGCATGGAGTCTGCCTGGGATTCCCTCTCTCCTCTCTCTTAAAATAAATAAACACTTAAAAACATTTTTTGAAGAAGACCAGTATTTTCTTTGAAAGCCATCTGAAGTCAATTATAATAGTTTTAAAAAAATTTTTTTAATGTTTATTTTTGACAGAGAGACAGAGCATGAGCGGGGGAGGGGCAGAGAGAGAAGGAGACACAGCATCGGAAGCAGGCTCCAGGCTCTGAGCTGTCGGCACAGAGCCCGACGTGGGGATTGATCTCATGAACTGTCAGATCACAAACTGAGTCAAAGTTGGATGCTTAACCGCCTGAGCCGCCCAGGCGCCCCTGAAATCAATTGTGATAGTTAATGAACAGGTTCATCAGCCCTTTTTGTGTTCTCTTCTTGCAAATATGAATTTTATTCCAATCAACAGGCTTGGGAAGAGCTACTGTAATCGCTTGGGATTTCCAGTGAGTGTTCTAGCACCTTGCAAAATCACAGAGTTTAGTTTTTCTAAATCCCTTTCGGAATGTTCCCATCGGGCTAGGTTCATCCAGTATTTGGCCTGGGCTCATGCACTAAATGATAAAAATAAGAAACCAGGTTGGTAAGTTCGAATAAATGTTAAATTATTCAACAAACCTATGGCGGGGCAGGTCCCAGTCACTTTAGGAAACTGCAGCTAAGGCTCACGATTCAGCCTTGGGCCACGGAACATAAAAAATTCAAGGTTTATTTGGATCTTCGGAAGCCTTAACTTTAAGGAGGCAGGTGTGAATAGTTCAGGAGTGGAGGGAGACTCAGAGGAAAAGGGAAGTTTGACAAAAGGATTGGAGTGAGGCAGCAGCACTGTGTGGGAGTGGGGGCAGGTGCAGAGTGAGGAAGAGAAAGTGGCCCCAGAGCTGGGGGCCCAAGCACAAGGTGGCTGTCAGCCTGGGGATAAGGACCACCGGGGGAGAGGAAATAAGAGTCCTCAGAGGCCATTTTGACTTATTTCGGTTGTTTGTCTGCCTCAGTTAATTCAGAAATGATATTTTTGTAAAGAGGCAAACTGAGAATCCTGAAAACGTCTGAAACCGTCAAGGCACCGATTAAGATGGGCATCCCGTCCAGGCTTGTGTGTTTCGAGGTTGTTTTTGATTTTTTCGAGTTGGAGCTTTGTGATTTAATTTTGAGCAAAACAATTTGAGGAAGATCAAACGTTCCCCATAATGGCTTTTGAAGTTAGAAATTATTTTTCGTTAAGTCTGTCCATTTGGTTAGAAATCCCATTAGGAGGGGGCATAGTTTTTTTTTAATAAACATTTTTTTTTCAACGTTTATCCATTTTTGGGACAGAGAGAGACAGAGCATGAACGGGGGAGGGGCAGCGAGAGAGGGAGACACAGAATCGGAAACAGGCTCCAGGCTCCGAGCCATCAGCCCAGAGCCTGACGCGGGGCTCGAACTCATGGACCGCGAGATCGTGACCTGGCTGAAGTCGGACGCTTAACCGACTGCGCCACCCAGGCGCCCCATGGAGGGGGCATAGTTTTTAAACGTGGGCCCAGTCAGGATCCCAGAAAGGAGGGGCATGGCATGACCTCAAGAGCATTTTGGTGCCTAGGATCCTATATCTTACGAACTTTTTTTCTAAAAAAAAAAAAAAGACCTAAACAGTTGCAAAAAGAAGTTGGACCAAAGGCCAAACAACTCTCAAAAAGGACAAAGCCTTAAAACATCTCAAGTAAGCCCGGAGAGCTCGAAACACAGAGCAAGGCTCAAAATCCAGGAGCAAACCTACCCTCCAACCCCAAGGTGGGTGGCACACTTCGGGGAGCCCAGTGGGCTCTGTGGGCACCGGCACCTGTTTGCTCAACAGCCTGGAGTCACTAGGAGTCTTCTCGTGTTGATTTTCACAGGGTGGTCAACATGCTGAGAAAGGATGAAAGGCACACTGGGAAAGGGAGCGTGGCCTGCTGGGAAAGGGTGAAAGGCACACTGGGAACGGGAGCGTGGCCTGCTGGGGAAGGGTGAAAGGCACACTGGGAACGGGAGCGTGGCCTGCTGGGAAAGGGTGAAAGGCATACTGGGAACGGGAGCGTGGCCTGCTGGGAAAAAGGGTGAAAGGCCTTCTGTGAAACGTGGAGACAACTGACAAGCCCGCTGACGGCCTTAGGGTCCTCCAACAACAGACGGGCTGGAGTTGGGTGTGAATTTTCTAACTAACAGGCATATGTGCCTGTGGAAACTCGTAATCAACGTGCAGTAGCTCTCGGGTTTGGAAAGCCTGGGGGCGTCTCTGCACACCGTGCTCCCCACTCTTGAGGACCTACACACGCACACCGCGGTTGTCGTTGCCTCTTTGAGACGACGCCGGCTGCCATGCACCGTCCACTTCTCTAGGGGGACTCCTTTCCGGGCCGGGAGGTGGCGCTCCACTCGCCCCCGGTGCTTTCTGCTGTTTGGTGTCGGTGAGGGCACCTCGATTACGGGGGGCCCGAGCTTCCAAAGAAGGGGCTGGTGGGGGCGGAAGCAGTGGGAGAGGAGGCAGGAGGACCGGCTGGCCTGACTAAAGGCCCTCATCTGAAGCCCGTGGGGGGTGTGAAGCCCGGAGGGATGGGGACAAGCATTCCGGCTTTAGTTTTGTTACTTTCTGCTGGAAGATGGGTTTTGTGTGTGAGTGGTGTGGTAGGGGGGGAGCTGCCCGCAGTGAGGTCAGGTGGGCGGGGCCACGGTGCAGTCCGAGGACCTGGAGCCAGGCAGCTGGGAACTGAGGCCACAGCCCGGGAAGGGGCCAAGCAGTGCTTGGGGGTGGTGGCAGTTAGGTGACAGGTAGCAACGTGGGAAGCCTTGCAGGTTCCCGGAGGAACAGGGTTCCCCACCACCGAACACTAAGTAGTCCTCGTGCACGGGGTGCCCAGAAGTCAACTCGGTTCTGACACCATGCACCCAGAGACGCGCCAGGTCCCACGGGTCACGGCCTCCGTCCCGCCCCCCCACCCCCACCCGTGCTCCCGCCACAGGCCACAGAGTGGAGGGTCCTCCTCGGGCTCTTGCAGCCGGTTAGAGCGGCTCCCAGAGGCCAGGGAACCACGTACTCGCGCTTAGCGGTGTGTGGAGGATGCGATAAAGGACACGAGGCAGCAGCCAGATGAAGAGACGCACAGGGCACGTCCGGGGAGGGCGCAGAGCTCCCGAGTCCTCGAGTCCTCGCCGGGTGCCCCTCCCCCCACCCCTCCCTGCCCGGAGGCCTGCGGTCGCAGTCCTGGGCGGTTATGGAGGCCTCGCTGGAGCCCTCTGACCCGTGGCGGGTCCTCCCGGCAGCCACCCCGCCCCTGGGCAGAGACCCAAAGTCACCTTCGTTAACGTGAGCGGAGACACATCTGTGGCCCTTTTCACTGGAAATTCCACGGGTTTTGGCAGCCGTGAACACCACACACCCCTGAGCCTTCCCTGTGTAGTGTTAGAATCTGCTAGGTTCTGCGCGTCTTACCTGAGCGCCTGCTTAGTGCGAACACGATTACCTGTGAGTAATGTTCGGTACCAAAAGTAAGATGCTACGTGCACGCTGCTTCCCTTAATCATTCTCCTTTCCTTTTCCTCAGGGGACCGTGAAACAGCTCCTACTGTTCCCAGAGGCGGAGGGGAGCCCATGCTTCCTTGACATCTGTGGAGATTTCCTGGTTGTGGGGACAGACTTGGCTCACTTTAAAAGCTTTGATCTTTCCCGAAGGTACGGTTTTTGTCCAAATAAAAGTATAGACGTATATCGGGAGATACTGCGGGTTCAGATCAACGCCATTGCAATAGAGTGAATTTCTCAATAAAGTGAGTCAGATTAATTTTGTATTTTCTCGGTACATGTAAAAGATAGGTCTGTTGTCTAGTCAAGTGTGCAGTAGCATTATGTCAAAAAAAATGTTCGTGCCTTAAATAAGAAAGCAGTTTATTGCTAAAAACCGCTGACCGTTGTCAGAGGCTATAACGCTTTACAGCAGAAAATGAGTCTTAATGTGCGTCAGTTTTCAAAATCTTTCAGGGGATCACAGGATAGAGTACGGAATGTGACAGTCACCTAAGTACGGTAGAAATGTGTGAACCAGCCCTCGGAGAGGCGGTGCTGACCCCGGCCCTTCGGGTAGTGGTGGTGGTGGTGTTGATACTGGGGGCTGAGGGACCGGACACAGGACCGCACTGCCGTCCGCAGAGCTCCCCGCACAGGGCACAGGGCACAGGGCAAGCGTCCCGCGCCGCCGCTCAGCTGCACAGAGTGAAGGTGCAGGTTTTGGGAGCCGGGGCTTCAGTGTTGGGAGGAGGTGACATAAGCGAGGGGAGGAGGCGAGAATGAGCCTCATGGCGAAGGGTTGAGCACAAGTCACGTTTAGCTTCATACGGACACAGACGTCGGGTGCGCGTCGAGACATCTCCGGATACACGTCCGGGCACCAGTGAGTCCGCGTGCGGGGCCTTGCTCTGCCAGCACGCCCAGGGCCCAGGTGCGGGTTTCCACAGTGCTCTCCAACAGGACCACGAGGCTCCTTGGAGAAATTCTAGGACGGAGGCAGGAAATGTCACAGGAGCCTGGAGTCAGACAAACTGTCCCAGCCTGGGGGGCCTAAGGACACGGGGCCTGGAAGGGATCCTGGGACACAGAGGACACCAGGGAAGCACGGAGGAAACGAGAATTAAGTGGAAACAGTCGGGAGGAGCCACCGCTGCCGACCCAGTGCCGTTTGTAACAGCGTCACGCCAGAACCCAGTAAACGGGCTAGAGACACGCGTGTTTGTACGTGGCATGTGGGACAGCAGCCCGTTTTGGCAGGACGAACGGCCAAAACGTGTCGCAGGGACAGAGGCTGAGCACAGAGGAGTAGGGGGAGGGATACGTATTCACTTCTGTTCGTTAAACCTGGGAACTTTACAGACTGACCCAGACCTTGAATCAGTATGTTTATGCCTGAAAGTAATACGACGTTATTGTCATCGGACCTCAGTTTAGCAACTTAAACTGCTGACGCTCGCCCTGTACCCTGATCTGGGCCCTCTGTCGTGGCGCAAGACCTCCGGCGTGCGAGCAGCCATGCCTTCGAGGAGCCCCGAGTTCTTTGAAGGAAGGTTTCTGTTCTCTCAGAGAGCGGGCTCTGGCCCTGTGAGCTGCCCAGCCACAGGCCTGCGCCTCCCCTGAGCCCCCGTGTCCCCCTACAGAGAGGCCAAAGAGCACTGTGGTGACCGGAAGCTGGCCGATCTGATCCCGGGCGCAGCGGGCATGGCCTCGCTCAGGTGTAATGCCAGCGGCGGCAAGATCAGCATCCTCCTCAGCAAGGTGGGTGCGCGGCGGCAGCTGCTCCCCGGACCGCGGCCTCCTCCGGCCGTGCCCACTGTGCCCCCCTCCCCCGGACCGCGGCCTCCTCCGGCCGTGCCCACTGTGCCCCCCTCCTGCCACGAGACCTGAGCCCCCACCTGTCCCCAGTCCCTAGTTCCTCTGAGACAGTGGGTCCCCCTGTGCAGGGTCCCCCTCTGCACCTCTTCTCTTTTCTGTACCTTTTCACCAGCCGGCTGGGTTCTCTTGGCATGAGGGGGTAGCAAGGCCCTCTGAGCCTCTGGCTTAGAGAAGGCAAGGACAGCCAGGGAGCAGAGTCTGACAGAAGGGACGCGGACACGTCTGTCCTGCCCTGCAGGCAGTGAGCCTTGCTGCCCATGAGTGTTTGCTTGCGAATCCATTCTTTCACCACCTACTTACCGGTTGCCTTCCGGGAACCAGACACTGTGTTGGGCACCGCGGACACAAGCCGATGCTTAATTAGGAGAGTGTGGCCCCTTCCTGTGGACAAACAGACGTCCATCAGAGACGGTCCAACTGCGGGCCATGCCGGGCGGGAGGCTTCCAGACGAGCATGTGGCAGGGGCAGGGGAGGCACAGGGAGACGCGCCCGGAGTATAAGCAGGTGGTACAGCACGACCCGAGGGCCTGCCATCCCTGGCAGAGGGTGGAGGCTGAGGCCGGCACGGTCAGTGGGCCATCACACGGGCGCCGGCCTTGGCGCAGGGGCAAGACAGGACCGTCACGTAGCATCTTTCTACAGGTTGCTTCTCAGCGGTGGGGGGGTGTGCAGAAGTCTTCTGGGGGTTGGGGATCATCTGGGGCGGGGGGCACGGATGGGCAGGGACTGATTCCACCCCGGGCAGCCACGTGGAGGTTGAAAGGGGGACGGTGGGGCGTCCTGTCTCAGTGCTGAGTTCGAGGCTCCTCAGGGCAGCACGTGGGCCAGCGAAGACAAGCCTGAGTCTCAGAGGCTAAGTCTGGCTGGAGATGGGGGTCCTCGGGCGGCAGGAGGGCGGTGCCAGAGCCCAGGGGCACGGAAGCAGAAGCAGGGTGGGCATCCCAGGACACGGCACCATCTCCCTGCTGCTGGCGTGAATGCATGGCACGGGCGGGGACAGTGCGGCGACGCTAAGGGACAAAAACATCTCTCCTTGTGCCAGGAATTCTTGTCCGTGGTGAAAGAAAACATGGCAAAGAAATAAAGTTCAGGCAGCACAAGCGAGCTTGTGGTGAAAACCAGCTGTCCCCAGCCCCGCTGGCGCTCCCCGCGGGAGGGTGCACTTTGGAAAGGAGGGGCTGGCGCGGGCAGTGGTCCACCGTTCCCCTGGGCGGGGGGCGGGGTGGGGGCAGGAGGCTGGGCACCTTCAGTGTCGCTGACGCATCTCCCGGTTCGTTGTTGGTCTTTCCTCTCGCGGACGGTGTTTGTGATGAGAAACCGCTGCCATCGGGCTTACGGTGGTCTCTGTCTGAAGTTTTGACGGGCTGATCTTCTTGTTTTTCTTGAGTCCTCAGGCCCCATTTAGCGTCCTGCCGCCTGGTAAGACAAAGCCTTGCACAGTCTCCCCGAGTCGTTGGCTATTCGTTCCCCCACCAGCCAAGCTCCTCCCCTTCTCTCGTCTTCATTCGCCTGTGTGAGAACTGGCGTGTGGGGATCCACTCCTCCGTGTCCCTGTGGTTCATCCACCTCAGCCGGACAGTTGGCGTTGGACCTCCACAGTGTTCTAGAGTTTCTCGGCCCCCTGAAATTACAAAGTACCCCCCGGACAGCTGTCTCAGTGGGACGACAGTGCACCGACACCCACGTTAGGAGTGCTGGAGTGGCCAGCGGGTCGTGGACGCCACACGCTTGTTCTCAAACCCACGGGGTGCCAGCCACGCGGTTCCGTGAGCCCCGTTTTGTCTTCCCCTAGGCTGACGGCAGCCCCGATTCCAAAATCTGCTTCTACGACGTGGAAATGGACACTGTGACTCTCCTGGACCTCAAGACGGGGCAGATTGATCGGAGGGAGACGCTGTCCTTCAGCGGGCAAGAGACCAAGAAGTAAGGCTATGATTCGGCGGGACTTCAGTGTAAAGCTAGTGAAAATGATACACAGCTTCCGAGCAGGTGGTGGCTGAGTGACGCTCCAGACTTGAAGCCCCTTAGCAGGTGGTGGTGGAGGAAACAGTGTAGCCAACAGCCCCAACAGTTGGGATGGATGGGAGCCCCTGGGGTCCTGGAATTACCCGGCAGAAACGGGCTTCTGGAAGGGCAGTGGCAGCCATGGGCACACGGTGGCCCGGATGTTGGGGGGAGTGGCGGTCACTCAGCCTTGTCTGCACCTGGGAAGGGAGCGCGTCTGTCTGGGTGGTGGTGTCTTTCTAGAAAAGTAATCACTGCTCTTCAGGGAGTTCGTATAACCTGTGTTTGAGTTCCTGCTGCTGCCAGGGACACGCTCGCCCTGCCCCACTGAGGGCTCACCTCTGACTCTGGAAAGTGACACCTGAGGGCCCAGTGCGCGGCTCAGGACCCAGGGTGCACACTGCGGCCGGCACCCACAACGCGTGCCCGACAGCAGAGCCCGAGGCCGGCCTTGCTGGGCACCTGCTCCTTTTCTCTGTTACGGTCCCCTCCCACTCCACTGCTGAAACCCTTTTCCAGAACCTTCTTTCTCCTGGGGGCTTAAACTGGTCGCCACTGGCGGCCCTGCCCAAACAGGCCCGTCCTCACCTCTCCCCAGCCTCGCTCTGCTTTCTCGGCCCCAAATGTCCGCTGGAATCTCTTGTCATCACCTGCACCTCATTTCCAGAGATCACTCTTGTCTCGGCTGTGTGCTCGGAAACCTCACAGCTCACCTCTCCCTTAGTCGCCTCGGCTGTGACTCGTCCCATTTCCCTTGTTTGAATCATGTCTCAGACTCACACTTTCCCTCTGCCCTCCACCTTCAAGCCACGTCCTCCCCGGCCCAGCCTGTCACTCCTCCGGTGGCAGCAGGGACAGTGCATGGCCTCCCCGCAGACTCCCCTCCGCTTCTGAGATCTGACCTTCCTTTGCCTCCAGACCCACCTTGTCTGTGGGCAGCACACCTACCCCTCGGCACGTGTCTGCCCTACAGGACGCGAGGTCCACACCGGTCCTGGCAGGCGCCCTCTGTGGAGTCTCCAGAGCCAAAGCGTCACACGCCCTCCGACGAGGCTGCCCTGGGCCTCTTTGACTGGCTTTGTTTGATGTGAGCGTGCCCCCTGCAGGCTGGCTGCAGCGTGCTGTGGGAAGTGGCCCCGGAGCAGGCAGTCTGTGGAGCGCACAGCAGCCTGCGGACGCGGACGCCGACGCCGACCCTGGGCACGCGTTTCCAGAGCGCATCTCAGCCCTCAGGACTCAGGATGGGCCTTCTCTTTCAGGAGCCCCGCCTTTGCGGACGAAAGACTGAGGGATCTCGTTCCTGTGAGCCACTTCTGGGACCAGAGCGAGCCCAGGCTGTTCGTGTGCGAGGCCGTGCCGGAGGTGCCGGGGGCCCCGCTGCAGCCCAGGGACAAGAAGCCCCCCGCCGAGGACGGCCCGGACCTCACGGTACCCTGACTGCGTCGTGGTTGTCTCTTGGTGCAGGGGTCTGGGCAGGTTCACGGTCCTGACGTGGTTTGTGGGAAAGCTGGAGGGAGGTTGGTGCCCGTTGAGCAGACTGCCTCCTCAACACGTGGCCTGCGTGGCCTCTGGGTTTGCGTGGTGGCGGGCCCCACCCTCTCTGTCTGCTCCCACTCGGTCTGTCCTGTTTTAGTTCTCCCATGACGTCGAGTGCTGCATATTACTTTCTCCCTGGGACCGAGCCTGCCACCCTAACGGTTAACAGAGCTAACCCATGGCGGGCGTGTGTCCTGGGGCTGGGTCAGCAAGGCCGGTTCCACTGACCTCCTCGCCCTGGCCCCTGACCTCCTCCCTACCAGGCATCCCCCACCCACCCCCCCATAGCGTCCAGGACTCTGATGCTTTCCTTACGTACGTTGTCAGAACGTCTGGAGCTCCCTGGAAGAGGCCAGCGGCCGGCTCTGCCTCCCTGTGATGACCTTGTTCCGAGAGGGGTCTGTAGCCGGTCCCAGTAAGTCGGCAAGGGCAGCCAGCCTGCTGACGCTGGCGGCCTTGTGTCCCTGCCAAAGGAAGCGCCCCCCTCCCCAGGGTGGTGAGCACAGGGCCCAGGATTATCAGCGGTGGGTGTCTGTGCCCCCAGACGTTCAGACGCACAGACATTCAGACGCACGGCCAATCCTTCGTTCTGAAATGCTGAGTGGTAAACAGGTGGCATCTCCATGACTCTGTGACTGGAACAGGAGACGGCCCCGGGCGGGCGGTGAGGGTGCGCGCTGATTGCCACTCTGGGGCCTTTGCCAGCACGCTGACCGGGTGCCGCGTCCAGGCTTCTCGAGGAGGGTGAGGCCCGGGAGGGCTTCGCCCCCTGGACCTCCTGCTGCTCCTGTCCACAGGGGGCTGGATGGCACTGCCGCCCCGATCCCTCCACCCCCCTCCCCCGCAAGAGCGGTTGAGAGAATCTTTCTGCTGCTGTCTTTGAAATGAGAGTCGAGGAGCTGAACAGAAAAACCGACACCCAAGAGTTCTTTGGTGTCGTTTACCAGCTGGGTGGGGAAAGATTTGTTTTTGCTACAAGAAAACCCGTCCCTAAGAGGGTTTAGCGGCTCTCCACTTAGGAGGTGGCACATCTTCCAGAAGGGGGCTAGTGGATTATCCGCATGAGGCTGTGTGCCCACGTTCGTCCTTCTTCTCTGTGTGTCAACATCCTGGCCGTGAACGTGGGGATCAGATGCACGATGGAAGGTGACATGGTCACACCAGAGCCGACAGCGTCTCCCTCTCCCTCAGGCTGACGTGCTGGTCCTGTCCTTCTTCGTCACCGAAGAGCATGGCTTCTTGCTCCAGGACAGCTTCTCCCGGCCTCCCGCCTACCAGACCCTTCTGGGAATTCAAGTGCCTCACTATTACTTCACGAGGAAGGTGGGAGCCCCGCGAGCGTGGGGCCGCATTCCCGGGTCCCGGAGGGGCGGGGGGTCTCTGGCGGCCGCGGCTCACCCCTCATTACGCACCGCGCACCACGTGCTCTAATTTGTGCCCCCAAACTCCAGCAGCTGGGAGGCCCCCGGGTCAGGAAAGTGACAAGCCTTGGCTGTGTCATCAAGACAAGGTAGCACGGACGTGACGTGTCCGCGGTCCTCGGGTAGGGGACTAACGGTGATGCGGGCGCAGAGGTGGCCCCTGGGGACAGGCCAGCCTGTGGCTTTTCAGGAAGTGTGTCTCACTCACATGTCTGCTTGTTTATTTTCGATGGAACAGGGTTGTTTTCACACACGTGCACGCTCCCAGCTAGCTTGTCTTGCAAAGAGTTGTCTGCCTCCCCTGGGGCTCGGCCTCCTTGTCGCCAGGGTCTCCGGACCCGTGAGTGTCTCGCGGCTCCGCCCACAGCTTTTCTTCATTCCCTTATTTTAAACCATCTCTGCCCTCACGCCGGCATTTTTCTGGATTTCATTCTCATTTCACGTACCTCAGGAACATTCGTCTTTCCTTTGACCTGAGGACTCAAAACATCATGAGAGCGTGTTTATGGTTCCTCCTATCGAGTTTTCCTCCTAATTTCCCTGATTTGGTTTGAAGCGGGGTTCAAGAGGGAACAGTCAAGAAAGTTCTTGAGATGTTCTGGTACAAAGGGGTGGTTTTATTACGGCAGGGGGACAGGACCCGTGGGCAGAAAGAGCCGCACCGGGGTCATGAGAGGCAGATGTTATCCTTGGGAGTTGGACGGGCGGAGGATGGTAATGACAAGGAGGTTTCCAAACGGACCGTCCGTACGCTGGGGACTCCAGGATCCCAGAGGCCTGGCTGTCATCCGGCTGAGGGGGTTTTCCCGCTAGCAAAGCATTACCGACCGTGAAGACTGGGGTTCCTGGGGGAACGTCTGCTCTGCCGGCCTCAAGTATTTCTCCACGGGCTGCAGGTTAGAAGGAAAGTCAATCTTATCCGCATTTGTCTTGTTCCGCCCGTTATTCCCAGCGTGGACTTTGGTTTCTCCCGTTCGCGTGAGCCTTCCGTGTTCCCCTCACCATCCGGTCCCTAGACTTTGCCTCACTCGCACGTGGCCCCTTCTGCTTGCGTTCCTCTGTCCCTCTGTCCCCAGGCTTGTCGGGGAGTCTGATGCCACAGCAGCCCCGGTGTGGGAGCCGCGCGCCTACGTCGCTCCGCATAGCCCCTGTCCTGGCTCAGACTGTGGCTTGAACAGTCCGTCACCGTGTTGTAATGCAGGAAATAGTTTATGAACTAGATTAGCAAAAAAGGGAATCTTATTAACTTGATCTCTAAAGTGCTAGTAAGAGGAAGCTGTGAATCATCGTGTTTCTTTAAAAGCTGCCCTTCTCCTGGATTACTGACCCGTATCCGAGGCCGTCAGCACCGCGTCCGGAGGTCCCCTGTCTGCACACTTGAGGGTGTGGATGAGAACGTGACAACCCAGGGTCCCCAGCTCAGTGCCCCCTCTCGGAACAGAGCTGAGGCTCCGAAACGAGGGCAGCGGCCATTGCCTGTGGCGGGTGAGCCACGGCACTCTTGTTTCTGTGAGAATTCCCCGGCGCAACCACAGTGGGCCCGGTTCTGATCATAATGGGGCACCGGGTCCACAGCAGACTGACCGGCTGGAAGTCTGGCCTCTGCCTCGCAGTGTGTGCGCACGTTTTCTGAAAGTTCCCGCTCAGGGCCGACTGCAGCTTTCAGCCTCCTCCTGACGTGACCCGGCCTGCGCTCATCCACCCAGACTGGGGGCTGCCCCAGGCCCTTTGCTTATGCTCTGCTCTGTGCCTGTAAAGGCCTTGCCATCCACACCTGGGTCTGACAAATCCTACCAGTGTTTCAAGTGCCCCCCCCCCCAAGTTAGAGACTTTAGGTGAACGTCAGGGAGCAGCAAGATGGGGGGCTGCTGAGAACCGAGTGGGGGCAGGGGTCACGCAGCAGCAGCCACGGCGATGAGATCTGTTAGGGTTCCTAGACCCAATTCTGCCGTGGCGAGGGAGCCCCCCACAACACGAAGAAAGTCTCAGATACCACCTGGGGGCCTGAGAATTCAACTCCGTTTTTTTTCTTTTTTTTTAAAAAAAATTGTTTTTTTTTTTA